TTAGATATATTATTTTTAAGAAAAAATTATATAAAACCTTATTAAAGCATGATTTTTTATAATGAAATTTTATTATTCAATAATATTTTACACAATTCAATTTATTTATATTAAAGATTTTTTTCAATTATAGATGTTATATTTGGGGACAAAGTCCTCCAGAAAATCGCATATTCTAGTTATTATAGAAGTTAGATCAACAAACAATATTAAAAAATCAGATTTATAAAATTTTAATTATTATGAATAAAAGAAATTACTTTAATAAATAATTTTTAATTATTATAAAAACTTATAAAAAATTTTAAAGATAAATATAAATAGGGTTTAAAATTTGAACACACCTGTATATGAACGCACCCTTCTTTTTTTAGAAATTTTTAAATAGTAAATTTGTTGATCATTTATGATCATGTTATGATCAGCAAATTTACTATTTAATAATTCCAAAAAGGGGGGGTGCATTGCAACACACCTGCATAAAATTATTATTTCCATATAAATAAATATAAATATAATAATATAAATGTAAAACCTTTTGATTTAATATTTATTTTATTTATTTATCAAAATTTACTGTAAATAATAATATAACTTTATAATTTTTAATTTATAGAAATTACATCAACGAAATTAAGAAATTAATTCATTAAAGTTTTATTATTACAAAAATTACAAAAATCACAAAAATTCAAAGGTAAATAAAATATAATGATGCAAATAAAAAAAATTTAAAGATAAATACAAATGTATATAAATATGGAATAATAATAGTTATAATACAGATAAAAAAATTTTTTAATTTAATATTTTATTATCAAAACTATTGTAAATAATAATATAACATCAATAATTTTTAATTTATAGAAATTACATTAACGATACTAAGAAATTAATTCAATGAATTTATATAATTTTTTATTGTCACAAAATCACAAAATAATGATGCAGATAAAAAAAAATTTAAAGATAAGTATAAATGTATGTAAATATGTAATGATAAAGATAAAAAAATTTGAAAATAAGTATAAATGTATATAAATATAATATGTCATCAATAATTTTTAATTTATAGAAATTACATTAACAATACTAAGAAATTGATTCAACAAATTTATATAATTACAAAATCACAAAATAATTATACAGATAAAAAAATTTAAAGATAAGTATAAATATATATAAATATGTAACTAAATAATGCAGATAAAATGCAGATAAAAATTTAAAGATAAGTATAAATATATATGAATATGTAATAATGCAGATAAAAAATTTACTAATTTAATATTTTATTTATTAAAACTACTGTAAATAATCAATAATTTTTAATTTATAGAAATTATATCAACGATACTAAGAAATTGATATAAGGTAAATAAAATATAATGATACAGATATAAAAAATTTTTATTTTACTAATATATGTAATTGTAATTTATAAATATAATTTATTATATAATATTAAAAAAACTATTTAAAGGACAGTGTAATATTTTTTATTTTATTTTTTGATTAATTTATTAATTAACAAATATGTCCGAATTATTATATAACAAAATTTATAATTTTCTTATTACTTCACCATTAAATCATATTACTTTTTTTTCTGTTATTTATTAGATAATGAAAGATAAACCTTTAATAGAAAAAGAAAAATTAAATAAACAGTAGAAAAAGCTAGTAATGAAGCATTAAAAACTGAAAAATTTTAAAAAATGGAAGCTTAAGATAAAATAAATAATATTTTGAATAGGTATGTTTAAAATATTATTAAAAATCAATTTATTAAATGATGAATGGTGCATTTTTTGATAAATTTTTAGACTTATAATATTTTAGTCTATTGGGTGAATCTAATAAACATACTAGTGTTGAATTCAACTTTACACAATAAAGTATAACGATAAGCCTATGTACTTGTTTTATAGCTCTATTAGTATCAATATTCAACTCTGAGGACGTATGGAAAGTACTAAGACTTTAATTTTATAAGTTTTAAAAATTTATATGTAAAAAACAAAGTTGTTTCACTATGTATAGGCCATACAGAAATGATAACTTTGTTATAATATTCTGATAACATGACTATATGAGCTCATGATATTAAAAACATATATATATTAATATTTTATTTACTAAAATACAATTTTTTGCGCTGATTTCAAATTGCTTTTGAAGGTATTTATAGTATTTGTGATATTGAAATAGATAATAAAGTTCTTAATAACAAAGAAATCAAATATAATATAAATGATTTAAAAAAGAAACTTAAGGTATTTGTTTTTTTTAACAATTAATATTATTTAATTTTTTAATATAAATTTATATAATTTTTTTTGGACAAATAATTCTTCATATGCTTCAGAAATACAATTAGATTTAGAATATATAGATATTGATAAATTAACCTGGAAGGATTCAATTGCTAGCTAAGTAATTAGTGATGATTCAGATATAATAAAAAATTTATCAGTAGAAGCATACCAATCTTTTATAAAATTAGCAAAACAAATAAAAATAAATAGTTTAATAAATATTATTCAAGAAGAATGCAATCAATTTTTAAATGATTTTAAAAAAGAAAATTTAAATTTATTATATAATAAATATAAAAATAATAATACTTGGATAGAATCAAATGAAAAATTGTGTGAAATTACAAAAGAAATTCTTAATACTTTGTAAGTAATTTTTAATATTTAAAAATATTATTTATTATAAATTTATAATTATATAATTAATTTAAATTTTAAAAGGAGTAATATATGGAAAAATCCAGCATTTAAATCTGAATTTGCTAATATACAAAGTAAAGGAACATATGTAACTGATGTTATTGTTCCACTTTTACGTACTACATTAAAGGATCTTATAATTGGAAATGTTAATTTACTTAGCACGTAAGTTTAATTAAATTTTATTATAATATAAATATTAAAATAATCTAATTAATATTATTTATTTAGTGCTGAAAAACAAAGTAAAGCTAGTGCAACTAGAAGAAAAAATTATAAAAAACAAGAAAAATGACCTGATATTATGTTTATAGAAAAAAAAGATAAATTAGTTGAACTTATATTTGTAGAATGTTCCTGTTTAATTTGTAATAATGATAAAGAAGAAAAAGATAAGATAAAATTATGGAGAGAGATGAATAATGAAATAAATTATATATATAAAAGGAATAGACTTGATAAAGATAAATTTGGAATTCTTGGAATTCAAAATGCTGGAAATAAAATGCATTTTAATATTATTATTAGAAATACATCTAAAGTTAATCGTCTTTATCATTTATATTCTACTAAATTCCAGTACAGCCAACTAGTGATAAGATGCATTTATTAGAATTTATAAATGTATTATTACATATAAGAAATATTAAGAAATATTTTAATTATTAATATTTCTTTATTATTAAATGTATTACCAATTAAATCAAAATGATTAAGAAAATAATAAAGTAGTTATACAATATCTACTGATATGGAGGATGATTAATTATTATTTTTTATATTTAATAGAATTTATTATTACAAATTATTATATATATTTTTATTATATAACTAGTGCTTCGATCCGTAGCGGTTTTATCCGGATTTTCATCCGGATTGAATTTCATTAAATTTCGCTGGCACTATGAGTTTGGCCAGAATTAGTATAAATTTTTGGGATAATAATACTTTAATGTTGGTTTAAATTATAGTCTGTTTAAATCTGAAATTCATAATCTTTCTCAGCCATAATCGTCACATGAAAATATTCAAGTTTTCATCCGGATCGAAGCACTATATATAACTAAATAAAATTTATATATATTAAGATAATTTTTTAATTTTTATTTTATTTTTATTTTTAATAAAATAAATTATAAATAATTCTATTTTATTTAATAAAATAATTAAATATTATGTATTTATTTAAGAATTATAAAATAAAAAATATTTTTGAATTGTATATTTATTTTATTTACTTTTTTAATATAAATTGATGTTTTTTTTAATTTATTTATATATTATTAATATTATTTATTATAAATAAAAAAACCTATAAATTTTATTATATTTTTAATAATTTATTTAAAAATTTATAATATTTATATAAGATTTTTCTACTAAATTTTATTGTATTTTATTAAGTATATATATATTTACAAATTATTTATTTAACGCCATCATGATTTTAAATACATACAAGCACAAATTGTCTTATATAATATAATGGGAGATTAAGACTAAAATTTTTCTTATATATTTTAATTTTAGTTAGTATTACACAATTTTATTTAAAAGTAATGCATATGTAATAAATAAAATAAATAAAAATTTTTAAAATTAATAATTTCTTTTTAGTTAGAGTAGTAATATTTCTTATTATATAATAACACCTATTTATATTCTTTATTTCTTCATCTTATATTCAAAATCTTATCCTTTATTTTAATTTTAATTAATTATACTAATATAGCTTTTATAATAATATATAGTATTATTAAAGATGCTAGTTTACTTTAATTATTTTTAAGAAAATTCTGATCTTATTAATTGCAATATATAAAAATTTGTATTATAGCACTTTTTAAAAAAAAATAAAAAAAAAAATAATAAAGAATAATATAGTACTTTTAAAAAAAATAAATAAAAAATAATAAAGAATAATTTGTGTTAATGGATTAATTAAATTAATTAAAATTGTAATCTAATCTAATAGTATTAGATTATAAATTTTAGTAAATATTTTAAGTTAATCCAAATAAATTACTTATTATTATTGATTCCTTTTATTAGAATATAAATTCTATTAAAACTTAATTAATAGATCTTTAAAATAAAATATGTAGAATAAGAAAATTTTAAAATTAGTAATATGTGATTTTATCTAGAATCAATATAAATTGTCATTACTGATTTTTCACAAAAATTAAATTGCCAGTTAGAATATTTATGGTTAGAATGAATTGCATAATCATTATGTCAAAATTGCATTGTAGATGCAGTAATTTAATTAAAAAGTTTGCAGGCCAATTTATACAAACAAAAAACAGTACACGATAATACATAGTGAACTTTAAAACAATATAATAAATCATTTATACAGTTTTAAATGTTAATCATAAGATTTATTTTTTTCTACTGTAATTAAGAATTTTGTAATATATCAGCAACGGTACATACACATTCCAAATAAACATTAATTCCATAACATTCATCTGTTTGTAAAGGGTCAATTCTAGAAGCTAAATTTAAAGATTGATTGGCATTTAAAATATTTGTTGGTTCGTTAACCGTAACTGTGTCAGATTCAATAGTTGGTATAGGACTATACTTCTCCGCTAATTAATTACGTCGTATTTCGGCGAACGGACCAATTCACTATTTATTATAAAATTACTATGAATTAATTACGTCTGTCAAAATACATTATGTCTGTCAAAATAAATTTAATTAGTATTTTGTCATTTTGACGAAAAGTATATATAGGACCATCCCAATATATGCCGTATTCTTCTAAATTACTTACTAAATTATTTTCAATCCCTCTTATTCCATATTGTAACATTCCTCGAGTAAAAAGTTGTGTCAGATTCAAATTATGTTCTGTCCGGATTGAATGCAAATTCCATGCATCCGCGAATAATTTTAAAGTATTATTAATTCTTGGAATATATACATAATGTAAACAGAACATATATACAGTATTGTCAATATCTAAACCGCAATTTTCCTCTAAATAATTAAAAGCAATAATGTAAATCTTTAATATGCGCTTAAGATCAACCCACAGCCTTTCGATGCATTGGTTATGTACGGATGAACCAGCTATAAAACTACCTCGGCCATTTCCTCTAAATGACTCCATATAACGTTGAACTCGAATGTTTTCTCCTCCTCTATCTGCTCGAACACGACTAGGAGTTACATAAGTATTGCATGCTTCTGTAAAAGCGTGTAATACAGTTTCAGCCTTATTGTTTCCTGAGCATCTTAGATAAGTAATTAATCGTGAATACCCATCTATCCCACCATGGATCACAAACTTCCATCGTATCAGTTTGTGATTGCCATCAATATGCCAGAGGCAATTGGGGCCAGCTACGTTATATACTCTCCTCGGGATAATGCTGGACCAACGGTTGAGAACACCAAAAGTATCAATTCGTTGCAGTGATTCACGCAACCGTTGACGCGGAATTCTTATTCCTAATGAGCATAATGATCCCATTAAAAGAACTTGTCCAAAGAAGGGATGCTCAGCCCTCAAATCTCTAATAAGATCATCAAGTTGTTCGTTGGTTATTTCTGTATAAGATGCTAAGTCATCTGGTATGTTATATTCTTTTTAGCGTCGATATATAGTTTTTGTTGAAACCCCAAAAATTTCAGCAATCTGGGTCCATTCAAAACCTTCCTGTCTTAATAAGCGTAATGTACATTCCAAAATGATTACTTTATATCTTCTGCCTGTTGGTTTAAAAGAAACCAACCTGCTATTAATGTTTGAACTTTCGTTTTGCAAATTTTCAATCTGAGTTTCCAACTGGTCTTTAAGCAGTAAAATTGTATTTATTTGAGTGATATAGTATGGTCGTTCTCTTACGTTTAATAAATATGAGTACATTGCTGACAAGAGATTCAATCTTTCCACACACAATTCTAACGCATTAATATCACCGCTACCAAGAAAGTTTATTGAATTTTGTATTATTGTAGTAGAAAAGTCTTCAAATTGTTGTTCCTCAACAGTAGGAAAATTTAATGCCATACTGTATTTATGGGTTTATGGAAAATTAAAGATCTTAATAAAAAAAAAAGCCAATTAACCCATATAATTTTTTACTAAACTAAATAAAGAACGCGTCTAAAATATATGCGTTTAAAAAAATGTCAATCCTGATTTAAAAAATAGTCACCATTTTGATAATCCAATTTTCATTGTCAGAAACACGTGATTGGATGCAATTATTAAATTACATTCGACTTTTTTCTCACCTAGTTATTGCATTAAAAGCAACCAGGAAAGCTAAGAAATAAATATAGCAAGAAAAGTAAAGAACATAGAACTGGAAAAACGGGATGAATAATAAAAAGGTGAATAGGTATCGTAGAAGATGCTATATATATATACCAGTCGTATCTCTAGAAAGAAGAAAACAGTTAATAATTGTCAGAAGGAAAGGGGAAATGTATGAATTTGAGACTATAATTATATTCATGAACCCAATCCAGAAAAACAGGAGGAATAGTGAGAGGAACAGGAAGAAATAGAGTAAAGAAAATAGGAGGTCAAATATCACCGGTATATGGCCATGGAGAAATCTAAATATGCTTGTTTCAGAAATTAAAGGGGTGAAAGCATATATTTACGTAAAATTAATTGACGTTGTGAATGCTAGATGAACATAAATGTGATAAAGAGGACAAATTTTAAATGTTTGACAGGGAGGAGAAATTAAATTCGTGGTTGGGGAAAGTTTTTGAAATCAAAATCAGGTGGACATTGATCTTTGTCGATAGGAGCATCACAATTATCTATTAGTTGTAGAAAGTAAATGTAATAAAGAGATTTTAAATGTTTGACTGGTAGGAGAAAATTAAGCACATCCAAAATTCAGGTTGGAGGAGTCTGTTGAAATCAAGAATCAAGCTCAGGTGTGCATTGATCTTTGTCGTTAGGAGCATCATACTTGATGGAAGTTGATAATTTAGGAAACATTATCAAATGCAAGATCTAACGTGAAAAATTGAAGATTAGAAAGAAGATAAAAACTTTTTTACTTCGCTCTCTTTTGTAATTGCTCTTTTCCGTTCTTCCTTTCTTTTTTTTCCCTCTCTTTCGTCCCCCTCTTTATTTAAATAATTGGTTTTACCTGATAATCATCATACTTTTTTGATGACCGGGTGTGTATTTATTTTCTTATTTCTTTTCGTATCATTATTTATTATTAACTTTCATATTTCTTTTTTAGGTTTCAGCTTCTTTTTTTTTGGATTCAATAGCAGCTTTTAAATCAGATTTAGAAAAAATAATGTGATGATAATTAAGAACCTTAGGGCGAACAACTGTAATGTAAGCAATAGCAAAAAATAGCAAAAAAGAGTGTGTTGGTGGTAGGAAACGTGTTAGGTGTGACAGAAAGTGAAAGGAGGAAAATAGAATGTACCGGTATGTGAAAAATTCCTGTAAGAGATAGAGAGAACACAACAACAGAAAAATTTCAACTTGGTAAAAATAAAAAATATTGATATCGGAGTATTTGGTAAGATAGATAGGAGGAGCTGTATAATGATCCTACACAGGAAATTTTTTTTTAACGAAAAATATCACAATGATATCTTGATTTTATACTTACTATATGCATTGTACTTTATTATTATTATGAAATATTAGAATTTTGTATAGTTGTTTGTTGGAATCGAACCAACTGGAACAATGTTCCAAACCATTAACAACAAATATAAGTATATGTCAAAGTTTCCACATCAATATACCCTAGAGAATTTGGTTGTTTCTAAATAAATTGAAAGGAACATTAGCTAAAAGTTAATTTCCTAAAATTCTAACCCTTATACTACCATACCTTAAATAATTAGTACTCGTACTCAAAGTCATCCCTAATGGATAATTCTTAAGAAAAGAATAGTAAAGTTTCAAAGTATCAAAACCGACTTACAGTACTTCTTGTTATAGCACCAACCAGGAATTTAGCCCGGATCCTACAAAGATAAAAAAGAAAATGTTTATAATATGCTTCCTAAAAGAAGAAAAGAAAAAATATTTGAAACTTAACACTAAAACCTTTTTAGTTATTTTTTTTTATTTCTGTCCTTGGTTGGTATCAGGTCACCAGTTATTCGTTTGATTGTCCTGCTTTGCAGTAAAACCCATTAACCAAGAAATGAAGTCCAGAAAGAAAAAAGGAAATATGAGTAAAATGTTTCCTAAAAGAAGCAAGAAAAGCAAAAGGTTTGAAGCATCAATGCTTACACACTTATCTCCAAAGAATCGAAGCCTAAAACCTACAAAAATTAAAGAAAAGATCCGTTAATGTGTATTTTAAAGTTCGTTCTAAAACCTAAAAAAAAAATAATATACCCATATCTAAAATAAATGTTAAACGTCGACACATTTCTTTTGTCAATTCCGGAAATTCCATTAAAAAATAACCTACCCGCGTCCAATGAATATGGAACCTACAAAAAATAAAATAAAAGGAATATTAATGCGTTTCTTGAAGTCAATTCCCGAAATTCCCACTGAAAAAAAGATCTACCCGCGTCCAAAAGACATTTCATATAGGTAATGGCGCAAAAGTCCCCTTCGGAGAAGTAAGAATCTATAAAAAATAAAAAAGAAAAACCAACGAACCATTTATTTAATTCTAGATTTCTGGTGTTAACAGTTAATGTGTAAAAGCTTTTTACTTTACTTCAAACTTATGAACTATGCAGATTTAGGAGGAATTTGTGTCGCACAGCCCATTGTTCGATCATTATGCATGTTCTATTAGAATGTAGATCATTTTCTAACCATATGGACCATCGATGATTTTACTGAGCAATAACTAATTATTGTGAATTTCACTCAGAAACTAATTCTTAACCGGTTCTTAATATACCGATTCTTCATCGTTTGACCAAGGGGAGAGAAAAGATTAATAATGAAAGATACTTGAATATTTTCATTACGTACAAAATAAATTTCATTTATCATCAATATATTCAAAATTTGATTGCTACAACTTTGATAAAATATATTTAAACTTTAATAGAGATAGCCCTAATTATTTGTTGTTTTGCCCTCAACTTCGGAATCATTGTTCCTCCTCCTTGTTCTTCGTTCTAAAGGGTTAACATTTACCCATCGGTATTCTCTTTGACTTTCTGTATTCAAACTAGCGGTCTAAAAGTTTAAGAGTTCTATGTTTAAGAATTCATTATTAAATCTTATTTAAATAATTTTTTTATAATAATTTAGTTAAAATGTTACCTGATGAGAATCTGCATTTAATTCTAAAGAATTGTTGTTTGCATCATCAATAAAAATAGCATTATCAAGTGAATTACCAGAAGATCTAACCGTAGATGTTGAATTAAATTGAGCTGTTGATAATCGAATTGGGGTCACAACTGTAGAAGAACTTGGTGAACTTGGTGAGATTTCCATTGCATTCCTAATTTCATCTTGTAAAGAATAATTAATATTGTAAGTTCTTGAATATACGGACTCTGAGAAAGCTTCGTAATTCATAAATCCAACATATAGATCATTTTTAAAGAAATTAAATCCTTCATTGGACATTTCGTAATTTTCACATAAGGTTAACATATTTCCGCATGTAGAGGCACGTGGTAATCGATTTACCCAGAGAGAAGTTTCTTCTGGTTTAAGGTTAATCCATGAGATCTAATTGAAATTTAATATTAAATATATTTTAATTTAATGATAAAATTAATGAAAGTATTTACAATACCTTAATTTTGGGAATTGCTGGAATTATTTCTGCTCCTGTGATAAATTTCATTACTATTTTTAATTCCGTTTCACTCATAGACTTTAACATCTCTTTAAACTTGTTAAATAGTTGAAGATATTCAGGTTTATGGAGTGCCTGAAGTTCCACATGGTTGCAATCAAATTGATTCATTATAATTTCGTATGTAAATTTGTAGTAAAGCTCCCGAACTAAATTATGATAATTGCAGTTGTTTTTTAACTCCTAAAAAATGAAAGTTTCAATTAAGTAATATAAATATTAATCTGAGTATTTTATAGTATGTCGACATTAATAATGTTAAATCTATCGAATCCAAGTTTTAATTCCTCAAGAGCTTTTTTTCTTATGGTGATAATTTCATATTCTGCTATAAAAGCAGCTTGTTCTTCTTTACTTAAAGAACTAAATTCACCCTAAGTATTAAAAATTAATTTATAATTTAATTTTTTTTTTATTTAAAAAAATTATACTAAATTTAAATTATACTTACATCAATTTCTCTATTGCTTAAATATACATTTAATGATTTTTTAGCGTCAATATTGTGTTTTATTTGACGATATAAGCGATAAACATTATGATTAGTTGTTTTTAGAACGTTCACCACGTCTATTTTTTCATCAATAAAATATTGTATATGCAATTTGTGAAGCCACTGTGGCCATAGACCACAGTGTAAGATGGTCCAAAATAACATTTTGCCTAGAATATGAGATTCTGTTGTGTTATCGATTATCCCATTTGTAAAGTACAAATCACATTCAAGGACTTTGTTCCAGAAAGTTGATATTATTTGACGGAAAACGCCTCCAGTATCTGTTACACTAAAATTTGTAATAAAGAAAAATAAGTTTAAAATAAAAACAAAAAACAAATTATTAATATTAAATTATTTACTCTTCTAAAACCAATACGATTGATGGACGACGCAATAAATCATCATCACTTGCATCCTTAACCCATTGAAATAATGATTCAACAATGTAATTTTCGTTTACAGTTATATGAATAGTAGTGTTACTATTAATATATTGGTCTTGTAATTTGCGTTGGAAATCCTTCATGAGGTTCTGAAGTGAGCCATCAGGTGATTCAATTTCCTCATTGTCAGTTGAACTGTCGGAAGATTCACATAAATTGTCAATAATGGGTTTTATATATACTTTAGATTTACTCGTAGATGCTCTGTAAAATCAATTTAAATCAGTATCAATAATATAAATTAATATCAAAATTTAAATATTGATGATACCTTCTAATATATTCAAGATCTTTAATAGCACTAGCTTCAAATGGAAGTTCACTAGTAGTCTTTGCTTTGTAGCATACCCAGCCAGTTTGATTTAAACAAGGGAAGACTGAAGTAACTTGGTTGTTAATATAATATGGATCGTCTTGATTAAAGGAAATTTTCCTTAATAACAAATTTTGGGAATTCAACTGGTCCCATCTGTAATAAATAATTACATGAAAAATTATATTAAACTAAAAAATATTAAAGAAAAGAAAAAAGCTTACAGTTCATTCCCTCTTTTTGGGATAGTGGATATGTTTCTTTTTGGAATTAAGGTGAAATCAAATGAAATTGATTTGGTCTTATTTTTTTTATAACTTCTTTTGGAATTAATTTTGTATTTGCTATGTTCCTTCTGTAAATCAAAATTTAATCTATTGGACATATTAGTAGCTACAACTGACAAGTTTCCTTTGAGTTGTTCTGAACGTAAAAATGCGCGGACATTATTTGACTGTATCGAATCAATCTCTTGAGGTATTCGATTTGTAGCAAGAAATAGAGTTTCAGGTGGAACGCGTAAACTTGTTAAAGAGTTCCTATCATTATTGGATTCCACAGTAGAAGCAGAAGCAAATGAACTACTTTCTCCTGTTGGTCTCTAAATAAAATTCATAAAATTTATATTAATCCGTTTAATTACAATAACAGATAATAAAAGAAAATAAACTTATTACTTGTTCGTGAAACGCTTCGTGGTGATCACAACCACACATATTAGCATCTGAGGCGTCAGGCTTTTGCCAAAATTTCTGGCAGCCACAATCCTTTTTAAAGCACTTTCCCTTTCCAAACATATTGAAAATATTATGTATGGTATATGAGAGAAAAGATATTTATACACAAAAAAAGATATTTGGAAAAGAGATTTATACGCGAAGTAAAAGTTTTGTACGTGAAAAAATAAAAAATGCGTACAGGAGTCAGGGGTAAAAATTGGATAAGGGGAATGTGAGAAAAAAAATGGTAAAAACCGTATTGCCTAAACTAATGGTATACCACATGTTCGCGAGAAAAAAAAAATTTTTTGAGATGTTTTTGTTAATTTTCAAAAAAGGTGATTTTTAAATTATTTTTGGTCATACCATATTAAGTGATTTGAAATTATCTTAATATGTATAAAATTTGCTTAAATTGCCTTTTATGTTCAAAAAATTTTACTAAAAATGGTTAAAAATTACGCATAACCTTTAATGGTCAAAAAATTTTACTAAAAATGGTTAAAAATTACGCATAACCTTTAATGGATAAGACTTTAAATAGAATTTCATATGAACCCAAACATTAAACTCTTTGCCTGGCGACAAACAAATTGAACTTTAACGTTAAATGCTTTGCTCGTTAGTAAAACTTTTGTGTAACATAACTGGAAAGTCAAACAATTTGACGATATTGGCAAAGGATATGACGGTATTGGCAAAGGATATGACTCTAAAGTCAAATGGTTTGACGGTAATGGCAAATCATTTTGACTTTACATTTAACCTTAAACGTTAAACAATATGTAGTTCACCTTTAAACATCTGTCCAGTCCGGCGTGCCATAGGTTTTACATCCGAAGAAACCCTAAAAGGGAAAACGATATCATACCTGAACCAGATTCCATAAACGGATAAATTGCGATTATGTTTATGACTATTTTGGTAACTGTTCTTCTAAACAAGGTTGTACGCATTAATTCGAAACTTGTGGAACTAGCTAAAACCACTATTTAGGCAATGCGATATACTCATCGTTAAAAATCTGTTACCTTTAAAGTAGAAGATAGTTTCACTATTGTCTCACAATGTATTACTATCTATAGGCGTGATAATCATGGAATAATAATTTTCCGTATATATCAACAAACTGAGGTATTTGCCTATGGACAAAAAAATAACGAAATTAAAGAAAGAAAATTCATTAGTATGAAATCAAGTTGTGCAATGTGTCCCATTTGAGACGATTTCATCTCAATTTTCGTTGTTTCCTGTCATAGATGTTTTGCCCTTTATAATTTTCCTCGTTCCTCGAAAAATCATAAAGATTTTTTTTTGTATACATTTGTCTATTAATCATCCACATAATTGATAATGTATGGGCCTTTAGGCATTTTCAGACTGAATGGTAAAAAATGAATACAGAGCGTGGTTGAGCAGCAAGACGCTCAGGGTATACCACACCTAGTTATTACTGTAAGGATCGGACAATTTCAGGAACAATAGTTATAGATTTTTAGTAGTACATTTTTAGTTGAACATTTTAGTGATACATTTCGTTGATTGAAAATCCCATATTTTAGTCAATCCTATAACTGTTATACCGGTCGCTTACAGTTTGGTATTGACAGTTATGGGAGGCTTCTTGGCAAAGGCGCCTTGTTAAGAAGCTAATGCGTATCAATATTATATAAATAGATTTCGCACTAGTTTATACCTAGGTATTTTTGTGATTGATTTTTTTTGTCTCGTGTTATTGATCGACTACGTCACTATAACCATTAATAATTAGATTTTTTTTCGTTATATACTATGTTTATCCATGTAGATTCCAAGGGACAGTCACAATGCCGAAAAAATAATTTGTACCACATGTTACCATGCTACGCTATGTGTGACCAAAGGGTCACGGTCTCGTAGTTTGACTATTTTTTTTTCTTCTGTTATTATATGTGTGACATATATACTAAACGTTACTGTGCATTTATTTGGATTGATGATCTCGAGAATAGATTAGCATACATGTTCGCTTCACTTCCCACAATCCATAACCCACTCCATTATATATCTGAATTTGGTAAATTGATTGTGTTTGCTTTATTAATCATACGAGAAAAATAGGTTGAAATGAATGAATAAATAATTGTATGCAAATATATTACGTTGCACAGCCCTTATTCTTTTGGCAAGATTTCTACCATATCAATAGCTGCAATGATTAACAGATCATTTGTAAAACAGGTTTGATATTCTTAAGAAAAAACAGGATAATAATATCTTCGTGAGCAGGGCTCAAAATAAACAAAAATGTCATAATCGACTACGAAGAAAATCATGAGACTAAAATTTCTGAGACCGACGGTCCCGGAAAACAGAGTAGTGATCAACAAGCTCACAGTATGTACCCTTATGTTACTAAACCTAAACAAATGATCACACGGCAGTGTCTGTACAACACCCACATTTCTCGCATATAGTATTCTGTGTCAATCGGGTATGTTCAGACAAAAAACAACTGATTGTCAAATATGAAAGGCCTGGAATGCGCAGTAAGGATTATAGAAGTACTGGTCTATAAGGATGATCCGCATACCCTAAATCCAGCTATTTATACCAAATGGGTTTTTTTAACGCTACACAACAGACTGAATTAAATTTATGTATACCCTTTTTTTTTAATTACATGCATGCTGATTACAGTATTATGCTGACAGGCTGAATGGATTATTGAGGGACAAGATAATTGATCACTATGACTCTTGTGATCTTATTAATTCCAAGATTATAGGCTTTGGAGGATCTCCATCTGTTTATATCGCAAATTGGAAGAATACGTCAACAATGTACGCAATTAAAAAATCAGTCAATAACAAAGAGGTGTGTCATCGACAACATTTTTTTATCTTATTTATAAATTATTTATAGATTATTTTCTTTCTAGGTTTGTTTAACATTTAGGGCTATTAAAAGGTAGAGTAACAATTATGCAATTATGTATGCCTATATTTAAGTATTTGTTAATGTGTTGTAATTTTCTTAGATGAAAAAAAATATTTGCTTATTCTCGAATATGCGGATGGTGGGACATTAGGAAAATATCTAAGGAACAATACTATTGAATGGAAGAACCAATTAAGGTTTGCAAAAGAAATCGCAAGTGCAATTTGTTGGTTACATGATACAAAGAAAATCGTACACGGAGATTTTGTAAGTATTCTTAGTATTTTAATAAATTATCTAATACATTAGTTACTATAATATGTACTAACGTTTTCTTTTTTAGCACCCTAATAATATTTTAGTTCACAAAGATGCGGTAAAGCTAGCAGATTTTGGTCGTTCATCATGTCTAAAAGGGTCAGGTTATTATAATATTCAAGTATGGGGAGTAGTACCTTATGTGGATCCTAAAATGCTCAATCAAAAAATTCTGCATAAGATAAACGAGAAATCAGATATATATAGTTTAGGAGTTATATTCTGGGAGCTAACTAGCCGCTCATCACCATTTGATGGCCTTGAAGGTGATCATATTACATATAAAATACTTAGTGGTGTAAGAGAAGAACCTGTTCTGAACACGAATGTTAAATTTATTAGACTTTATCAAAGTAAAGTGTAAAAAATGTTTTCTTTGGAACTAGTGCAATTTTATTTTTCTCATTTCAACCTAATTTTTAATTTATCTTAATAGAATGCTGGGAACAAGAGCTGGATGAACGACCAAATATTTTCGAAATAAATGAAACACTTAGTATAATTGATTTTAAAAACGATAATGTGCCTACTGTTCCTTATTCCAAAGGAAGAAAGTAAAAAACATTCCTGTCAAATTGATTAAATAAGCTTTGACAAAAACTTTAGGTTATTGATATACTTTCTAGTTTATTTGTTTATAACGATCCATTCGCAATAATGTATCCAATTTTCTCTAGATTGTTATACTTAAAAATATTTTTCTTTCGCTTCGCTTATGTTAATTCATATAATTTAAGTAATTCAAAATCGTTATTTTAATTTTGTAAATCTGTTAAATAGGTAAAAACTGTTTATGACAAATATCACAAATATTGTTAACAATTTTACGACTTTTGAAGTTAATGAACTCTTCTCGTATTTATCGGTTTTTTTTCAATTTTATTTTTGTACAGTATTACCCTAATCAATAATGTGAATTTCTTTGATTACTAACGAACGATTCAAATGATATCACTAAATTAAGGTTGCTTGCCGAAACCTAGGGTTTAGGCAAGATGGCGTTTCGCCAAAAAGTGAAATTCTGCCAAAACTATATTAAAGTTATATTAAAAAACTGGCGAAATTTTAGAGAAAGACGAAACTGCCGAAACTTATTATAAATGCCGAAACTGCCGAAACTCTGCCGAAACTATAATAAATCTATAGTAAAATTTTGACGAAACTAATCATAGGATTTTGAAGAGGTTTAGACAAGCAACCTTACACTAAATAACTAGATATTGTATTTGTTAGTTAAATATCGATAATATCGATACAGCAATTATTTTGTATAACAATATAAATTTATTTTCTAATCACTGAGCCTGCAAGTAAAATTTAGACTGGATATTTTTTGGTAATAAAAGACAATTGCAATTAAATAGGTAATGTCGTTTGTTCGTAATACTTTGTAATACATAATAATAATATACAGTATCCTAATTACGCAAGTGCTGATTCTTTTGTGATAGATTTTTCCAGATGTGTAATAAAAAAGTGTCAAATCACACTAGTAGAAAATTGACAATTCGACCTAAATTTGACCAGGTCAAATATAGGTTGAATGATGATCTAATCTGTGTCAAATTGAGGTCGAATTTTTGGGCGCATTTAGGCCCCTATAAAAAATATTTTTGCCAAAATATACTTAAAATAAACTTAAAATTTTATTTTATACTTAAAATATATTTAAAATTTTATTTTATACTTAAAATATACTGAAATAGGCAAAAATTAAGTATTATTTAAGTATAATTTAAGTACATAATAATATACTTAAAATATTCTTATTTTAAATATTCTTAAAATATACTGAAATAGGCAAAATTTAAGTGTAAATTAAATATATTTTAAGTATATATTAAATACAATTTAATTTAAATTTTGTGAAAATTCAATTTTCAGTATATTTTAAGTATAAAATAAGAAAATTAAGTATATTTTAAAGAAAATTAAATACAATTTAAATATATTTTAAGTAAAATTTTTTTTTATAGGGAGGGTGCCAATCGTCCCAAATTTGGACAAATTATTCGACCATTATTCAGGCTTAAATTGACCAATATTCGACATTAAAACTTTAAGCCGAATTATGGTCTAATAACAACCCATTTATTTATGAATTTATTTTGATTTTTTTTATCAAATTTATTAAATAAATGTATTTATTAATGCTTAAATACTTTAGAATTATAT